AGGAACGCTGAGCTATGCAGAAAGTGTGGCTCACGGACACAGAGGCAGGGAAATGTGAAATATTGGAAACAGTTCCCCTAAGAGACATGGAACTGAAATGTAGAATCTTTTCAAAATTCAAAACCATAACATAAAACACCAGTGAAGCAGACATCAAGTCCTAAACAAGGATTTCAAGACATAAGGAAGATAACAAGTTTAGAAAAGAAAAGTGAGCCCAGTGACTGTCAGATTAATTGAACACAGTGTCAGGAAAGATTGCTTTGTGAAGTGTTGCTTCTTAAAGCATTACAAAGTCGGAAAGACATCAGAAACATTGATTGGCAGCAAAGGGGAAACAGAAATCACCAGTGATCAATAAGGCAGCTGCCAGCAGGGTGGGGTGGGGTGGGTGGGTGGTGACACGTCAGTGCAGGAAGCACTTTGTGGAGCTTCAAGTGGCTAAGTAATAGGACTGGGACAAACCATTGATCAAAAGTATTTTTATGTTGTAAAAGGTCTTGAAAATACACCTTCTGGCATTTGAATCCATTTAATAAGAATGCTGCTATTATTTGTGCCTGCTTAGCATGACTGCTAGCAGCCTCTGGAAGGCTTAAAGGCTAAACTCGTTAGCTCTTTATTACAGAAGAAGTTGGGATCTCCTGATACCACCAATTAATTCAGGTATATTGTTAGAAGTGGGAAGTGCTGGTAAATCATATCTCTGTTGCCAAAGTATCACTTACTGCATCTTTCCACTCTGTACGAGTCTCAGCCAGGCCTCTTCCCCATGCGTTTCCAAGCATGGAATCCAAGTACTTTCTCCAAGGCTTTCCCTTTTCTCTTGTCCTCCGCTCCTGCCTCTGTTGCTCATCAAAGCAGCTCCTGGGGACCAGGGCCTCCTGGAACAAATGCTGTGTGACCTTTGCAGTGTTGGGAGCTGCTGCTGAGCTCAGCTCAGGATGAGGGTGTGTTAGGGAACGTCCGCCCTGCATCCTGCAGGGAGCTCTGCCCTGTTTGTGGTCTGTGCACATGATGACCTGGCTGGCAGCAGGAGGGGGCTCACCTCAGAGCTGCTGCTGTCTGCTGAAAATGCCGTTTTTCATTAAGGGGGCTGCCTTGGGGTGTCTTGATTTCTATAGCTGCTACAGAGATATTTTTTGTTGTTCCATCACTGCCTGACCCCCTGCCTTCCTTGTGGCTGTTCAAGCTCTGTTTTTTGTCAGATATAGGAAGAGAATTACACCCTTCCTTCAAGAGTGGTGATTTAAGTACCAGGATAGAAGCCCCACAGCCTTTCCTCAGCTTCTGACTCTTCCAGGCCCTCTCTCCAGCATCTCACTAGGCAATGTCCCAATTCATCCTGTCTTTACTCAGAGGATTTCCAGCTCACTAACCATTCCTGTTGCTCTCCTTTTGCCTGTCTTCAGTGGGGTTACATTTTTTCCCTGTGTGGTCCTCCTTCCCAAAAAGAGACAGTTTTAACCCTGCTGTGAGTAGGCTGGGAGGTGTCCTTACCTGGTCCCAGGGTAGACTTGCCAGACCTGCACTTGTCCATCTTGCAGCAGGTGGAGTTGGCTCATGTTCAGCTTGCCATCAGCTCTGTCCTTCGGGAGCTTCCTGGACAAGTGGGATTTAAGCAGCTCTTTTCCCATATTGTTGTTATGAAGGACCATGTACCCACCTACCTGTGCCTGCAGAGGCTGCTGTCTTCTCCATGGAGGTGGAACAGCCAAGCTGAGCAGAGGAGCCTTCCCTGGTGTCTGCTCCTGGCCTGGACAATGTACAGAGGGCATGGGGCTCTGCTGGCTGCTGGAGCATCCCCCAGAGCAGCCCTGGCAGGCTGGGAAGCAGCTCCCTGCCACTCATTCATGAGGCAGTGGGACCTGCCAGTGGGATGGTGTTGAGCTGCTACTGGAGTGCAACATGAGGCAACACCCTGGAGCAAGGGCTGGAGGGAGCACACTATGAAGTGGGGGGGCTTGACAGGGGTCATCAGGCGGTGCTGCAGTGTCCCAGGGATCACAGTCCCCATCCAGTGCCCCAGGTTCTGTCTTTCTCCCTGTCAACCAGAATGCGGGACTTACAGGTGAGAATGCAGCAACACAAAAGGCAGCAGATGGAGTGTATTGATTTTAACCAGCAATTTTACGTCAACAAGCCATTCCAGTTATGGATGTTGTTTGTCCATGTGCAGGTGCTGCTCCAGAGGCTGCGTGCTGCTGGGTTTCTGAAGGCTCTGCCAGCCTGGGCAGTCGCTGTGCCAGCAGCAGATTGGAACGAGAATCTGTCCACAAACCCGAGTGGCTTTCCCACAAGAACGACAGGAAAGGTAACGCAGCACTGAGCACAGAACCAGCACAGGAGGCAGCGTGTGGAGCTGCCGAGGTTTTGTTGCAGAACACGGAGCATCGACGGCGTCGTGTGTGCTTCAGTGACAGCTCTTGGCTAGAGCAGCAGGGAGGTGTGACTGCTAATCCACTCCGTGGGGAATATTTGCTGCTTTCTCTCTAGGACTTGGAACATCTGTCCTCACCCTCCCAGCCTGCCTGACATGGGAACAAGTACTTTTGCTTTTCCTACCACAGCACTGGGGTTAGTTGAGCTGTGAGTTATCACAGTGAATCAGGTGACGGTGGCTTGGTGGAAGCCCCTGTTCCTCCAGGCAGGCACCTGCTGGCAAACCAGGGTTGGAGCTAAGGAAGGGCACGCCAAAGGAGCTCGCAGGAAAGCTCAGGCTCTGAGGCCCTGTTCAGAATGAAGACAGTCCTCCTTCCAAAAGGGATTTGGATGGGTCACAACCACCTAGGGAGGAGCAGTGGTGGAGAGGGAAGGGGTTACTGGAAGCTCTCTAATAGTTGGAGGCAATTAAGAAAGGAACAGTGATTTCCACTGTCACCAAGAGACTGTTCCCAGCTGAGTACTGCTTGGAAATCTGAGATCTAATTAAAGCAGGCCTTGGATCTCATCATTCTTCCTGCATGCCTGGGACAATGAAATACTGACTCCTGCATCTGTTCTGTATGTGTACACGATGCAAATAAGGAAGAAGTCTGTAAATACATCAAAAACCATACTTTATTTTATGTATAGCAATACAATTTACATATTAAATAACACTATAATAGAATGATTTGATATAGTTTAACATAACAAAAAGAAGATTCTTCAAGTTACAAAAAAACCCCAAACAAAAACCAAAAACGAACAAAAAATCTCCCTCAAAATACTCCCTCCCACCCTCTCCCCAAACCAAACACCACATTTTTATTTTTTTTTTTCTGAATGGATCAATGAGACAAACGTATCCAGTGACTGGCTAAGTCTAATTCCTATTGCACACACTGACAATGGAATCCAAAAAAAATATCCAACTTTCACAATCACTGCCCCAAAGAAATGACATGTGTGGAAATCTTTTTTGGAGTGTGATGATGGTGTCTCACTACCTCGATACACAGAAGGTTTTTGTTCACATAGCCACCACAGAACTAGGAAGGAGGTGAAACTAGAAAAAAATTAGCTTTATATGAAAATATAAAATTCTATGATTATATACCATAGATACAAAGTTCCCAGAAGATGCTTATCCAAGCAACAAAATATTTACAGTTTTAATGACTTTGCTATTTTAAAAATGAAGGAAAAGAAAATAGGAGTACACATGAATGCTTCAGTCTCTAGAAACAATGGCTGCTTGCTAGTCTCAAGTGTTCTAACAAAACAAAAAAAGTCACTACCCCAAATGTTGGAGAGTTGTGACATTGTATAAAATTGACAATCTCCTCTTTTGGAGACGTTTATTCTTAAAACTCAAGACATTTTTCTTGAAATTAATTATCCTCTGTAGAAAATGCTTCCCTTTGCAAATAGTTAACAAAAACACTAAAAACAGTTTAACAGCTAAGACAAAGTAGAGGCCAAATCTCTTCATTACAGTTCCTCTTTTTCTTTATTTTTGCATTCCTTCTCCTTTGATAAGTAAAGCCAATGTAGTTCACATTGTTAGAATGGCAACAAAGAGAAGAGCAAAGGGGTAACAGTGAATTACATCTGAAAAAAATTAAAAAAAAAAGAGAAAAAGAAAAAGAAGAAAAGCAATGCAGTGTATTAACAAATAGGCATTTTCCCTTCATATAAAAATTCACTGGCACCATTTGAATATAAATTTCAGAACACAAGATCTGATGTCAGAAGACATGAATTTGAGAAAGACTGCTAAATCTTTAAGACAACTACATTTTAATTTTTTTTTTTTTTTAATTAAGTTGGTTTTGTTTTGCTGAGAATTAGTAGTATGTATCTTTGGTAGAATTGATATCTATATTTTTAGCTTTTAAATAAAACATATTATCTTAAAAGAAAGATTAATGAGAAGGCGGTTGTGCTGTGTCATAAAGATTCTTCTCCTAATGTTCCAATGTATCACTCTGGGTTCAAACAATTTGAGCAGTCAGAAACTGGAAAAACAACTGAAATTTTTCAGATCCTGTAAATGACTCTGCTGACCTAGAACAGACCCGCAGTACAGAAACAGTCACTCACAAGAAATAGTTTAAGGGGTTTGGATTTTTCTTTTTTCCTGTTCCTAAATTAGTGTTTGGAAACAGACACTGAAATACTAAGGACAAATGCTGTTTAAAATGAATGTTCCTTAGATCTTGGTCCCGCAGAAGAATCAGAGCTCAGCCTGCACATCTGAGCAGTCCCACCAGCTCTCCCAGACCTTCCTACTGGCACCAAACTCACATACAGGAGTGTTTGCAGGATGGGGCATTCAGCTGAGACTGTCACCCATTTTAGAGGCTAAGGTGGTACAGCAGCTTTCCAAGCATTCCCTCTTGGAAAGCTTGGCTGCTCTTACTCAGCACCGTTTATGTCCCTCACGGTCTGTGGGTGCAGTACACATGCAAGACATGGAGAAATGGTATTTTCTAAATGCAGACACACATGCACACGTGTGCTTCAGTCCTTCCATATTTCTCAGGGCTGGTGCTGAGGACCATAGGGATACATGGGAACCTCTGATGCTTGAAAGACATCCTGACTGAATGCCAAGAGGTGGCTACAGAGAGGGGGAGTTGATGTGCCAAAAGCAAGGTTGGGATGCACAGAGCAGAACTTTGGCCAGACACTTGTGAGAACATCAGCAGAGCTCATGAGTGCCCATCTCTGAGCAGACACTCCCTCCTTCTGCCACTCAGTCCAGGGAAAGGTGCAAATCCATGTAAGAGAGCAGAGCTACAGCTGCTTACAGTAGGGTAGATTTGGCTCTTTGTGCACTTAATCCTGACCTTCACAAGCAATTTCTAGCTTCACCCACTTCAAGCCTCATGCATCACTACCATCTATTGGCTACCTGACTGTCAGTACAGCACTTAACACACAGCTCAAGCCTCCTTACAAAAAAAGAAATCTATGGAGAACTCATAGAACACCAGTGTACATTATTTCCCCATGGATTAAACCCCAAGCAAAAGTATTTCAGGTGTCAAAAAATGCCAATGCAAATGCATGGATTTCCAAAGCATCTACCAAAGTTCAACCCCCGCAGCCTTCATTCATTGATGTTTAAAACTTGTGAGAAGGTAAGGGATTAAACCAAGGGTATTCAGACAGTGTGTCACGAACCACAGTTATCTTCCATCATGCCAGTGAAATGAAAAGTAATCAGCTGAAAGTACTGAACAAATCCAACCCCCTTGATGCCTGCAGTAATCTTCGTGTCACTTAGCTCTTGTCAGGGTTTGAATTCTTAACTTCTCCCTACACCTCCCCAGGAACTTAAATACTTCAGATTGAACTGATCCAACTCATCAGTCCCTTTGTGCTACCAGCTGGAATTTCCTGGGGCCAGGTTGATTACTGGGGGTGCAGGGGGGTTTCCCAGCCTCTAATGATGATGCCCACTGGCCAACAGACCATCAGTAAAACCTTCCAGACCTTGCAGGCAGCAGCACTTGAAAACTTACCTAAACAATTCTGTTACTGGGGTGTAGTGACTGTAGAGCCAGTCCTACCTCCTACCAGACATTAACTGACTCCCTTCTCCATGCCAGGCTATCCCAGTGCAAAGGGGATGCAAACTACAACCTTTTCAAACGTTCTGCACATTTTTTATCTGGACTAGCTGTTGCTGGACATGAGATTTCCTTACTGAAATCACGGGCTTATTATCCTGTTCAGCATTAACAGTTATTGGGATCACTTGTATGGAGAGGGATTCAACAAACGGAGAAGTGAAAGGTTGCTGATGAGTTCTTGAATACTGTGGTGTTGAATTAATTGAGTAGGAAATCTTTCTCTCATTAAAGACAAAAGGCCAGATTTTAGCACATACCAGTTTGCTTATCTCCTCTGCTCTCAGCAAGGTCGTATCAGTTTGCATCATGAGAGGTCCTGAACCAAAATGCCTACTCTCCATATCCTTTTAAGCAGTTTGCTTTCAGCTTCCTTGTGAGTGAAAATACACAGAACTCTGCCAAATGTCTGTATTTCAGCAAGACTGGACTGGTAGAAATTAATAGGTTTACATTTAAGTGAAAAAAAATAGGCTGTATTAAATGAAAAAAAAAATATGCTGTAACATTTTGACAAGTCCTGAAAAATTACAATGCACGTTTTGTGCAGTTGAAATTCAGAAGAAAATAATGCTATATATAAGGGATAGTGCCTTTAACTGTCCACCAAACATCAGGATGGCTGAAATCACATATTTCTTTTTCCAGGCAGATTCAATAACCCCTCCTCCCTACTCAGCTGAGCTATGAGGGACACAATTAACTTTAAGGAGAATTAAGCATGTGCTTACTTCTTTTGTTAAGCAGGGATGGACCTGGTTGAATTATGACCAATACAAAGGAAGAGGGAGCCAGTTAGGATGTATACTTAAATGCTCCAAACAATAATTCAGTTATTTATATAATCTGGGGGAAACCATTTCATTGGTGTGGGAGGGAAAACACAATAAGCTAGGTTTGTGCTAAAGAATTAGTCTGGCAAAAAAAAAGAGGGAGAATGTAACTTTATAGGTAGTTTTTTTATTAGTTTGCTTCACCAGTAAATATGGATCAGTACTTTATGTTTTAGCACTAAAGTATGAAAATTACACACCTGTAAAAATGGCATCTAACAGTTATGAAATTAAGAAACGCCTGTCATCATGTAACATACCATTAGGTGTGAGGTCATATTCAAGAAATAGTAAGGAAATTAGATGTGTTTAAAATATTGAATAGCTTAGTAATGTAAAATATTGCTACCTTTAATATATCTGAAAACAGGTCTGATTTTGGGTTGTAGTAGATTTCTCACTGTATTGGCTCTGATGAGAATAAAACCAAAATACCTTCCCATCACAGGGTTGGTTATAAAACAAAATCAGCATTTTTCTGATTACATGGGGAAACTTTGAAATTGTAAATTCAAAACCTATCACTGTGTCCCAAATATGAATTGCATCTAATTTATAATTATATTGTATGTAACATATATTCCATGTGAAGCAAGTCTCAGGCCTGTAAGTGTACAAAATAGCAATTTGAAACAATACAGAAATAATTGTTTCAGCTCCACAAGGCTTCACTGTAGCTAATAATCACCTGCCACGTTTTGTCAAGAAAGGATGAACACTGCTCATCCACTCCATGGAATGCAGAACACCGTTATCAAAACTGTGACATGATCATTAAATAATAAATATGGTATGAAGGGGTACAGTATCTGTTGTAGAAAGAATCCATCTGGCCTAGCATTCAAGATTTAGGATTCGAGGGTCACTGTAGTTAGCAAAACTTCACTGCATTTAAACAAAACAGAAAAAAGCGTATGTTTGTTGTCATGGAATGTCACATCAGGGCTTGTCTTGTATTAGAGTATTATAGGCAGTAACACTGATCATATAGTGCAAACTAGATAAAATTGCGTTTCACTGTGTGAAATAAACAGAGGTGCAAATGCTCAGTAGGATACCATTAAGACATAAAATGGCAAAAAATAAATATCAAAACTTTTATCAGTGTAAAAAAGTAATTGGGTTATTGTATAACCTAGAGTCTGGCAAAAAAGGCCTCAAAAAAGTTCACTCAGTCTTCAGAAGTTCTACAAATTAAGTGCCTTTTCAGGTTTCCAATTAGACAAGAGACTCCATGCTTTCTGCGGGATCAGATTCGTCACTGGCCATCACAGCACCATTTTTGTCCAGTGTCATGGGACCATTTCCATTTTCCTTAGTGCTGACCAAGCTTAGCATTGCCTTATAAAGAAACTGGTACTGTTCCTGGAAAAAAAAGAACAAGTTGTTTCAATCCTTTAAGGTGTACATAAATGAGCGACACTTAAATTTGGCATTTCCAGGGAAGGTCATGGATATTCATTACCAGAAGCACACATAGAGCAAAGAAATAGACTTAGAGCAATTATCTCTGTTAATCTAGTTTAACCTTGTCAACCCAAATTCCAGTTTTGGGTAGATTACATGGTTTCTGATGTATTATTAAATGCTACAGGAGGGCAGGACAAACACCTGAGGCCACAGCTCAGCCCCAGGTTGGTCCCTGGGCAGCAGAACCTCGTACCACACACACTGAGCCAAGGGGGCTGCTCTTGCTGGACACCCAGTGAAGAGCCTTATCTCCCTGCAGCTCCACCTGCTCTGCTGCATCCCTTCAGACCACAACATGCCAGGTTTAAACAGCACAGCGTAGCTCACAGGGCTGGCAGGGGGATGATGACGAGTCAAAAGGTCCTTCTCTGCTAGGACTGCCTAATGGTGCCCCCCTCCAATGTATGAGAAATAAGTTTAACTGCAAATCAGAGACTTACAGTGTGGGTTTGAGGTTTATAAAAAATGACAACTGCACAAAAAAGTCCAAATGCAAATTCTGCTCGGTAGCAGATGCTGTAGGGCTTGATAACACACACAACGTGTGTTTTAGTGCATGCTTTTGGTCTCAGATGAAAACCTTGTAAGCTATCTATTTATATTCCATTTAAAGACTTACAATGTCTGTAAATACTCCAGGCCGCATAAGATTTATCATCTTTGCCACCTGGAAAACATCGACAGCATTTTCATTCTCCAGCTGCTGGGACAGAGTGGTAAGGGCACATAGCGTTCCTGCTGACACAGCTCCATACCTGGAAAACCACACCAGAATGATGAGTTACTCAGAAACACACCCGGGTCATGAAAATGTTGTTACAGTCTTATCTGATTACTGCAGTTCATCTTTGTATCTATTAAATGCTTGTTTTGTAGTGGTTAATTTTTAGTCATTTTGATTTATAGAAGAAATTTGATGGTACACCAAGTCATCTCAGGATATCTGTACTGTTCAACACAAAGCACTGTATCAGCAGCAGAACATGAGCCATTTCAGAATACCCAGCCTGGAGACTTTAACACCGAAATCAGTTCTCACACGCCACGTGTACTGAGAGCATCTGCATTACAGTTGAGTGTATTTTAAATTCATTAGTGGGAGCTCAAGCAAAACATAAACCATTAGAAAGAAATGAGACTTTTCCTCTTCCTCCACATCTGACAATTACAGCAAAATAACACGGCTGTGAGGTGCTCACAAGTAAATGGGGCACATCTCAAAGTCTTCCTTAGGTCTGATTCATCGGTAAGAGGCAACATCCCTGAGCCAGGCACCCAAGAGACATTATGGATTCTGAAGAGTTGAGCTGTGCTGTCATGTAATAAGAACCCGAGCAGTGGTTATTTTGTGAGGAGCACAACTCAATGCGTCCTTGAGAGGTCAGGTGGAAATCTCAGTGCTGTAAATCTGGGGGTGTGCTTGTGCTGTATGTGCAGGTGGGAGGCGTGGCATAAAGGATCCTACACCACTGCTTCTGAGGAGCCTCCACTCTACTCTGCTCTCCCAGTACTCAGGAGACTGAAATTCTGTCCTGGCTCTGCTATGGGTCTGCTCTGTGACTTCGAGAAAGTCTGTGTCTAAATGTCCCCACTGGTAAAAGGGCATTGGTGCTGCCCTGCTCTCTAAACTGTTTGGAGAGCTGTACATGAAAATGGAAATGATGAGCAAGGGCTGCAATACCATCTTGTATCACAGGATTACTATTAGGATGTTTTACAGCATTCCTGTGGAAATCAAGACATCTACTGACTAGATTTCATATGATTTTTGCAAATTCAGCTTGCCTAGAAATGGGAAACAACAGATCTGCTATGTTGCAGGTGAAGCCTGTAAAAGAAGCAGCAGCACCATCCAGATGGCTGTGACAGATCATCTATAGGGACAGTGGACAAAGTGCCCACTGCAAGTGCCTGACAGGACACAACTAAATGTCTCTGAGGGTATGATGGCCTCATTTTTATTTGGGCTGGTTATCTCCAGTTCCCAACAATCTGAAGACTTTTCCTGTGGAAAATTATGCCGCAGATCTTTATCTAGTTGCCTACACACGGGAAGTTATATTTAAAAATCTTGACAACTGTCTCAAGTTGGAATTTCTGAACTTTTTAAAATGTTATCAAGTTCATCCCACCATGTACTTCCTAAATACCACATGCATTTATTATTTGCAAATTCATATATTTGGAATTAATCTGCAGTTGTAATTATTAGTGGATTATGTGATATAGTTGTTGCCTGTAGCAAAGGGAAATTTTCATTTTCAGCTACATTTGCTTAGGCTCCAACGAAAAGGAGAACCCACATTATGTATTAGGCATAAAAATAAAATCATTGAATATGAAAAATAAACCAAAAAAGCAATTTACAGAAGGAATGACTCAGCACTGTTAGGAATGCGATTTTGATTTTCTCCTTTTTTTTTCCCATCTAGCATGAAATGCCCAAATCAATAATGGTTCTAATTTTGTAAAACATAATCTTAAATACTGCAAGAGTAGCAAAACCTCACTTCAGACTACCCAAAGCATGAATATTAAAACCAGCCTGGAATTAATCAGGGCTGGCAAAAGGCAACAGAGCTTACACTGTACATTAGCAAGGCAGGAGGTTGTGGGAGAAAAACTACTTGCTGCAGCCCAAGGCACCATTTCCAGGAGTCAGTTGGGAAAAACCTGTTGCAGCAGGGAAAGCAGGGAAAGCTGTTTCAGCATCAGTGGATACCAGTGGTGTCCACACCCCAGCACAGCAGCTGGTCTGACCACCGAAACACCAGAGTGTGGTAGCAATGTTTTTGCAAAGAAGGGGAAGATTCCCCAAATCTAATTCTGCTTTGTGGCAATGACAGAAAGTCTAATGGGCTGTAGAGCAAAGGGGCTGCAGGTACAGCAGGTGTTTGCACTCAGTGTTCGCTCTAAGGACAACACAAGCAGTGTCAGAAATTGGGCCTCCTTGGGATTTTAAGGACAGAATGACTCCAGGAAGTGCTCTGCCCACCAGGAAACAGTCCCTCCAAAGAGATCCTGTTAGACCCAGCCTCCAGCCTCATTATAATGGTATTTTGCAGCTCCATAATGTGTGCAAGTAATAATATGCAATGCAATATTTAGCACCCTTTATAATTGGGTGTTCAAGCGTAGCTGGCAGGACAATGCTCACAAAAGAGGCAAGTGTTGGGGCATGCTGGCCCCATGTTAGCAGGCTCCCTCCCTCCCACTTGGTACCATATGGGCCCCTCGGAGTGTTTTTGGGGAAGCAGAAGAAATAAAAATAAATCTTCTCTCAGAAAACATAGGCCCTTTGTCACAAGATACTTCTGCTGCTCATCCTGAGACACAGCTGAGCTGAGCTTGTTCTGGCACATTAAACTTGAGCTGTTAGACAGGAGCTCAGGTTGTTTTGAAACTGGTTACCATAAGCCCATAATGGGCTGGTTAGAGTCTTATCTAAACCAGGGCTCTGCTGGGTTCTGAAACAGGTTGTAGGATTTGTTTGGGATACTTCCAGGTGCAGAAGAACCCAAAATGCTTCCAAAGCAAACAGCCTCACTTACTGAGTCCACCTAAGATTATGACCAACATAAAAACTATGTTAAGAAAAATGTATTTGGCCTCAGGTGCCAACTGAAAACTCATCTCTGGAAGTTTAAATATTCTTATCCTGTTCCTTAGACCACTAAACTCCATCTGCTCCATGCAGGAATGGACATCACTCCTAAGAAGTGTCTTGTAGCTGAGTAACATCTTGTACAATCTGCACATAAATGAGAGAAAAGTGATGACATACTCATCATGAACTATGGTGGGGCCATCCCTTGTTAAGGCCTCTTCCTTGATCACATTGATAAGTTCAAAGGTACTGCTTATGGGAGCGTCTGGGTTTGGCCATTTGGGGCACTGAAAGTGGCGGACTTCCAGAACGTAGTCATCCTGCAATGACAAACCAGCCTGGGCATTAGCTTCTTTCACTCCACACTCATCCACTCCAGGGAGAAAGAGGGAAGAGCCTCATTATACACTGAAGAGAAACTTTCTTCTTCCAAACAGGTTATATAGAAAGAGGACAGACACACAGCTCCAACATTTCTGCAACAGTGAACACCTTAAAATAATGTAAATTTAACAAAATGTTTAATTGATACAGATTTTGTATTTGAGTTCAGGGCTTATATCAAACCTCTCTCACAGCCCTTACAGTTCAAAAGTCAAACAAGAGCAACCAAGGAATTAAAATTTAAAAGGGCTTGAAAAGTAATGCTTTCCATCAAAGCCCAGCTGCAATTCAGATAGCAAACTAGAAGCAGGTTTATAGTTCAAAAGAAATGTGTTTACATTTTTATGTTTAGTTAAGACCCCCAGAAAAATTAAAAATGCTGCATTTTATAAGCAGAAATAGGACAATACACCTTGGTGTACTTTACAAAAAGTAATTCAATCTGTTTTGGTTTCTCATTTTGAAATTGTGTCTTCACTTTGAAGTAAGACAAACTTACTACAATCTTACCAGCTAAAGGAATCTGCCTGGAGGTAAAGGATGTAAGAGGGAGAAGAATTCAATGAGAATCCCTTTCCTCTGAGAACAATATAATTTACAAGTAAATCCTTTTCAAAACTGTTTCTGAACTATTCTCCTTCCTCATTTAAATGACATCAATATAATTTTGGTGAAAAGCAAAGACCAACATTTGGAGGTTTATTTTACCTGGGTAGCTTCAAGGATAAAGTCATGGATGATAATTTGCTCTTCGTTAGAGAGGCACAGTCTGTCTTTGCTGATAAGGGTCACAGTAAAGGCCTCACAGTTCATGGATTCCTCACGACTTGGCCAGTACACAAACTCATCTTCTGCCTGGAGAGATGAAACAACATGTTATTGGAGCCTTTCAGATACCTTGTGTGCAACTGAAAAATCCAGTCGATCAAAAAATTGGTTTGATAAACAGAGATGATCAGGAGCTGACCTTTACAAGCCATTTCCATCTAAAACAAATTTACTGTTACAGTAGGCAGGAAGCCTGCCAGATCCTCCCTTTGTGTGTCCAAACAGGTAACATCTGCTTTTTAATTGGTTTCATAGGGAAATGGTTATCTTAGCTCATTCATACTTAACCTTTATATTGTATCCCAGGCTTTATTGCCTCCTGTCTACAGTTTTGCTTGAAAGTCAGATATTTGTTTAGAAAAACTCATTGACCTTTAAAAATTAATGAAATTATTTTTAATTTGTGTTTATTGTAGTCTAATCCAAAACTCAAGCTCTGTGGATCAGGTCTAGGTAGAAGACTGATGGGATATTTATGTAGGGCTTGAATTTTTAGGAGCAAGTGGAGGAGTGAAGAGGAAGGAAGAAACACAAATATTCTTAGCCTTGAAAAAAAACATTGGTTTAACTTAATGGAAGTTCTCCAGCAAAACACCTCTACTGAAGGGACACTGTAACATCTCAGTGAGACTGTGAAGGGTGGAAGAAGCTCAATGCTGAAGAAGTCTGACTGACAGGATGTAGGTAACATCCTGTCAAAGCTGTTCTTTAAAAAATAACTGTGAATTCCTACTTTGCTGCAGAGAGAGGAAATTATGGTCTGTCACCACATACATGCAAAGTCTATTTCTACTTCTGGCTTCAGAGGTCTGTGTCCCTGCAGCACAAGCACAGAAGCTGCTCTGGCTGCATGCACAGAGCACACCTGTGTCTCTGGACAACCCATCTTTCTACTCATGAGAAAACATGAGCTCTGAAGCCACGTCATCCCACTGTGGCCATGCACATGCCTCTAAAACCAGGCATATTTCTGTGGGTCCAGAGCTTTGGTGCACATGACATGCAAGATACCGTTGAGATTTGGGCCGTCAAGGTTTTATTCTGTAAATGTGACATAAGGTCCTAAGTCCTCTCAGTGCCTTGACAATTCTGCCCTCAGTAAGCAGAGGCACTGGGAAGCAGAGTAATATCGCTGAGCACCAGGGAAGGGACCTGTCCTGCCACCTGACAGGTCTTCATGCAGCAGGTACTTTGCATTATTGTGTTGTCCTTTGGCATTACAGATTCAGCACCTGTTTTAGTCCCGTGCCACCCCTCCTTGCCAGCCAACACATCCCACATTGACCACTGAGCCGATGGTGGGATGCTGCTGCCTTGCTGGCCAGCCTCTACCCTGGGAATGCCACCGCTTCACCTGGTGAAAGCAGGTATGTGGCCAAACCCAGCCTTTAATCACTATAGTTCTGCAGAGCAATTTCATATATACATGGAGACAAGATCAGCTTCTTCATTTCCACCTGACACACTTTTATTTCATTAGTGCTTTCCGATTCGATCGGATTTCTCCGAACGCTCCTTGCCTCGCAGTGCCTGCAATCCCTTTCATTGCTCTGCACACAAGCAACATATTGACTGCTGCCTCTTTAGTAGCCCCTCATGACTGCTATTTTCCTGCTGTAATGAAGGTGGTTTCTCTTCCACTTTCAGCTACAGTTGTCTATTCACCTCAGTGATGCGTGCATGAAAAAGCGAACCGTTTAGCTCTTAATCCTTTTCAACACGCCCTCTTGAGACGTGCTGGTAAATCTGGAAGTAGTGATTAGCACTTCACCTGTGTCTCCTTATTCTCTCTCTCTCTCTGATGCATTATTTCCACTTAAATTAACATACGTGTTTGCTTTTTACTTTCATTAAATATAGCATTTGTAGCCTTCCACAACCTTAATCTTGCATGGCCTGAGGCTTAAGCCCACGGGCAAACAAGCAATTATCTACTGTCCCTGCCTCCATTTCTGCTCCTCTCAAAGTCCTTATCCATAAATCCAGCCTCTCAGTGCCCTCAGTGCCTTGCATCCTGCCTCAGGAGCATCACAGAGGTTGTCAGCTGCCTGTGAGCAGTGAGGTCCATCCAGCCCAGGATGTCTTTCCCAGGGGTGAGTGCAGAAGGAGACAGCAAAAGAACATGCCCCACGTCTTGGAACTTACCTTTTCGTAACAAGCTTATGACAAAGTCTGAGAAGGTGGCTCAAAAAGTGGCTTTGGTTTCAACCAGAGCACAGCCACAGCAGGTACCCAAGTGACCCTGTGCTGTGCCCAGCTGGAAGGGACACGGGCAACTCACCAGGCTCTGGTTGTCCGGCAGCATGACAATGATCTGTGCATTGTGATCCCAGATCATTCGCCAGAAATCTTTAGTCGTATGTGGCAGTGGATGTTGTGTTATGATGAACTCATTACTCCTGTAGTAGCCCTTTTGCAGCAAAACAAACACACAGTTACTTACTTACTGCCTTCAATACTTTTAAAGCATTAATTTCATCTTTGGGGGACACACACCCTATTTCATTGTATTCCCCAGTATTTTCATACAGGCTATAACTAACTCCATTTCCATTCTGCAGAGTCCTTATTGTCTTAATTTACTCTAAATCCCAGCGTTTATTTGACTGTATCTCATGGAAATACACATCCCATCTAAATGCATCTTGTAATTAATTTTTTAGGCAAGAATCTTTAATAAAGCACGGTTAATAGCTTTACATTATGGGGAAGGTGTTAAAATCTCATCTGTTAATACACAGCCATTACATACAGAATTAAGACAATTATAGGCATCTGGTATTTAGCACCTTAGAATTGATTTTACTTTGTAATTAGGTGTTGGCTTCCTCACCATGATATAAGAGGCATTAATGTAATCTGTTCCCTTCATTCCAGGCAGCGGTGCCAAGCCCACTCTAGCACGCTCAGCTATAACATAAAAAAAAACAACATAGAGGAAAAAAAAAAAGAAAAAAGATCAAAGTCTGGTCATGGCACAATGCAGAAAGTAAGAATTTCTCAGCTGTTAACAAACCAAACAGTGTGCAGCTCCCATCTCCCACAGGAGCAGGCCAGCACTTTAACTGCGTTAAAGCACTGCCTGCTAACACAGGATATAAAAGAGAATGTTGCACAATATTCCCACAAGGACAAAGTAATTTCAGGAATCAAATTTTACTATAGCAAAGATTTTCACAGCAGGCTGAATTACCAAATAACAGTATATGCAGTGATAACAGGGGATTTCAGGTAATTCCTGACTGTAGTGTTCCATTTGTCTCCAGCAGCACACAAACCCAGCTGATTTATTTTGTTTTCCCTACCACTCGGCAGCATTGCCATCATTCATGAGGTGAGAGAACCTCCAGAGACAAACCCCTTCCCTAATGGGGAACCACCCAGCAGTGTGTGTGTGCTCTTCAGCAGATCCACACTCCTCTGTGTTTAAAGACTGAGCTCAACATCATCCTCAAACCCTGTGACAGGCCCCAAAAGCCCAACTGAAATCATTGCAGCTGCATGACCCAAAGGGCAAAGCCATACAGATTATTTCTGCCCTGTTTACATCTGTTTTTAAGATATATTCTGATGACTTCCGCTTCTATTAACAAACTTCATGATGGACTGTATCTGTGCCACTGTTCCTTTGTGCTGGCTTGGCCATCATCTGTCCTCTGTCCTGTACTGTGGTAATGTCATGGGGATGACGTGTCCGTGCTTGGTCTGGTGCAAATTCATACTGCTTGACAGCCACGCACAGATTCCATATTAATGACTGTGAAACTGTCCCCAGGCACTGAATACCCTCAAATCTGGGGCGGCTCACACAGAGAAATTGAGTGCAGTAGCTGAATTACAAACAACTTGTGCCAATCACTCTGGGAGATCTCACCGGAGCTGGGAGCAGTATCAAAGTAATCTCTCAGTATTCCATAGATTTATCCCCTACCTAATTATTCAAATTCTTAAGCACTTCAAATTAACATTTCACTTGGACAGTATATCTGGCTGACACTGCAACTATTTCCTTTTGTTCAGTTTCATCAGAGTAATACCAAAAGACAAGACAGCTTGGACTGAACAAAAGATTACATTTCCCCTTCCTAGTGGCTATGCCTTTTCATGCATAACACCAGGAGAATTCAGTACAAAAAGTTATGCTAGGCAGTAATCAAACTGAAGATGTGATCTTACACGGCACGACTGATGAGTTCCTGTTCTTCTCTTTGTTGCAGTCTTTCTGAGCACTGAAGCATTCCACGTATTTTGCATTACACTGTGTAACCAGCTGAAAGAGAATAAAGTAGTAAGTCAGTCCTCAGAGCACACTAAATGAAGAGAGGAGGTTTCTTTGCCAACTCCTGTGAAGATGCATTAGTAGAAGAATAAACTGCATTGTTAAACTTGTTTAAAGTACTCAAGATGCCAATGGAAATAATGCTCTTCATATAACATGTTTAATGAATAAAAAGATCTCTGCAGCTCTCAGCTTCGAAACATCCTGAAAATGAAGTTCCATCAAAATGTATTTTCACAGAGCACTATGTTTCGTTATCTTTGAGAATATATTTCAAAGACTTGCAGATATGTTCAATCAGAAGCAGGTCTCAAGGAAGAAAAGCTAGCAAAACAGAACAACAGAACTTTTATGCTTTGGGTTTTTTTTTTTTCACTCCTCTAAAATAAAATAAAATAAAAGACATTCCTGCAGAATGTCTTTTCCTGCCAGGCCTTTGGGGAACCGACCACACTGCCATCTGAGATCTGAGGCCACGGGTTACATTCTCTGGTCTGCCATGTTCATTCTGGGATGCTTGGGGGCACACAGAAAAGTCACGGAGGCAGTGCTGCATTTGAATATTCTCCCAGTGTGTGGGGAAACTCTACCAGAGCAAAGCGAGTAAAGGTGCCTTTCTCATCTCCTGCATTAGCAACTCATCACTCAGCATAACTTCACTCTAAGATGGTTGAATGCAACTTGCTGTACCAGGGCATGAGCACAAGTTATCTTCTGCTACCTCTGTGGCAGCAGCAGAAAGAAGAGAAAGATACAATAATTGTTGCTGGTCACATCCCAATTTGAAATACATTCTAAACAAGTCAGCACTCAACTCATCTATACGCTGGCATAAGCCCTGTTAGAAGTTATGGGGTTTCTAAACCTGTGCAATGTTGGCAAAGAAAGCAACTTCTATAAATGCCGCTTAGGGTTGTGAAACTTTGTCACGAGCCATCAGAAAACATATAATTAATACATATAATTTAAAATAATTTGTAGAAGTGCAACACTTTTTAAAATAAGAAATCTTCTCTGACTGCACTTTGTGTGTGTGTGTGTGTGTGCTTCTTTAATTTAGTAATTAAGCATCTGGAATGTCCTGACTGATGAAGAAATACTGAGACTTCTACAAGTGATTTCAGAGAAGAGCCTGTTCATTTTTTTAATAGTTTGGTACCTGTTGTAATTTAACATTTTTGGTTCCTTGGGTAGTTATTGGGTAGGTATTAACTGAGTGCATTTAGCTGTGAAAACAGATGTCACTTATAATCTCTTTATGATAAAAAGTCTCACAAAATATTTTAAAATGCCTTCAAATAAAATGCAATCAAAAAATCTTAGGTTTCAAACAAGAGATCAGGGCAAAAAAAATTACTTTGGCCAGGAAGAAAGTAGCTATGACATAGCAGGGAAACACAGCAAGCGTTGTTATTAGCACTGAGAAAAGCATGTTGTGCTTCCTGGTCTTAAAACATTTTTAAGTCTTTATCTACAGTGCTGAAATAGTAGGTGGTGCAAAGAATCTTATCTCCTGTCCTTCTCCATATATATATATATGGAGAAATGCGTATATATATATATATAAATAACGCATATATATATGTGAGAGCCACAGTTTGGAGGAAGCCTTCCAGTCAAGCTAACCACTGACTCGGGAACATCCAAGCTCCCTTGGGAACAGGTTGACCAGCAGCACAGTCCAAACCAGAGTCCATGTCCCTCTTCTCATCTCTGACTGAAGAGTGTTAGCACTGATTTCCAGCAGCATAGCTAAGACTGTAGAGGACTGAACTTCTCAAGTTGTGCTAATCAAGTGTTCTGGTTTGGTTCCTTAGCCATGACCACTGACAGTGAAGCCAGGCCATACAAAAGACAGCAGGAACATTAGGTCCCTCTGCATGGCAGTGATAAACCTTACCTTGAACTGCTTTTCTAGTCGTGTCTTCCCTCCTATGCCAGGTATGAGGATGCTGTTAACATAACTATGCAGCTGGTTTGCAGACACTTCAGTCTCCTTCCCAAGGATGGCTTCCAACAAGGCATCATGAATAAAAATGTACTGCTCCTATAAAAATATCAGCATGTCAGGCAGGCATCTGGAATAACCTAAACAGCTGGTTTTAACTGAGGGGTAGAGCACACTAAAGGAAATGGTGTGCAAAACAAGTCACCCATGCAAATACCACCAAATCCAGAATAAACATCTATAAACATAGCACAGCTATGAATGAGTCTAAAGCAAAATCTGAAGTTTCTGGTTTAAAAAAAGAGACATTCTAGTGCAAAAAAATGCCAGTAATGCATTCAATTTTTACAGGGATGTAACTGGAAAAATGTATTTTCTTTATGATTACAACATAAAAATGAACATGACTTTAAATTCAACCCTACTGCAATTTTTACCTCTGTCTGGACGAGGTAGTTGCGCTGTGTCCTGATATGTTTCAGGAAACCCAGGACATTAACTGTGCTTTTGTCTTTTATTTGTTGCAGCATACTGTCTATCACAATGTAGGTACCAGTCCTGCCAACACCAGCACTACAGAAAACATAAGAGAAAGCCATGTAATACAGTTAGATGAAAACAAATGTAGACTTAAAACTAGAACAAAATTAAGCAAATATTGCTGTTCACAGACATTCATTTTCCTGCTGGCTTCAACCACTAAAGTTTCACAGCAAAATATTTTGGTTTCCTGGGAATATTACCAGGTATATATTTCCTCCCTTCTGTGGGTATTTCTGTGGTGCAGGATGAGGATGAACAAAACACAAGCCATCACACCTGTGCCAGCAGCGTCAGGATGGGGCTGCCATCATCCTGGACTTCACACTCTGGCTGTTCACACTTGGCTCCTGTCAACAACTGCTGCTGCTACTGGAGTTGGCTGGAAGAAGCCATATAGAGATCCACCCTATGCCAAGCTGCTGCTATCCTGGACTGTCAAGGTCACTCCAGGCCATGAAGAGTGAGGAGCATTCCAGCGGAACTGGAAATGCAAGTGGTACCAGCATTGAGGGAAGGCATGAGAAGGGGTTGATGCTTGCAGGACTCCTTTGCAAGGGAGGAGAGTGGTCCTGGGCTCAACAGAGAGGGGGGCTCTTCAGAAAGTCTCAGTTTCTGCTCAGGAAGGAGCTGTAACCTCCATCATCCTCTCCCCTTCGCTGTGGTGCTGTGCAGCCCCCTCACACACAGTGATGAAGACCACATCCCTGAACTAATTTATTGACTGATCTATTGTTTTGACTGCAAGTCTGGTGAGTGTGAGTGTGGTTCAATGGCAGTGCCATGCCTAGGTGTCCATGTGTTCATGTAGTTGGTTCCCAGTAGAGGTGATCCTGTCCTGTCCATGCCCTGAGAGGGCAGGCTACAAACCAGCTTCAACCAAGGAACTTCACAACCACAGCAGATTGGCAGCCCAGTATCATGCCTTAGCAAAACCCTGTGTCAATGGGGAAGCTTTTGCATTGGAGCTGTCTTAAGATGCAGGCAAAGCAAGGTCATGTACCTGCACCCCACGGGGCTGGCACATTCCTGCTGTGTTAGTAACTTATGGCGTTGCTGTTAGCTGGCATGAAGAGCACACAGTGTGCACTAGGTGTGCCTGCCTTGAGGTGTTCAGTCACAGCCATCATACCTGCAGTGCACCACCACTGGTCCCATGTCCGGGGTCCTGGCTGCAGAGGATCTCCTGACGAAGGTGAGCACGGGCAGCGCGTACTCGGGCACACCCATGTCGGGCCACTGCGTGTAGTGATACTGAATAACCGTTCTCTCGTTCTGCCGCCCCTTGGGGTTTCCCTTCTGACCCTGTGTGCCAAGTGTGCGCAGAGAGAAGGAGGAGATGAGGGAAAAGAAGCACAGAAATATGATCAGTCCTTCTGGCTTCCTCAGCTGAGAAAGTGGTGGACTCTGACAGAAGAAATCTTCTGCAGCTCTGCCTCCTGCTAGGTGGAGACAGAGTTCAAGGAAAAATACATATGGGAACAGGTAATAACAGCAATAACTGTGACACCAAAGCAGCAGTGAACTAGAGAAAAACAAATACAGGCTGAACCTTTCACCAGGATCCTTGTAATCCTGGTTTTGCTTACTTATTTCCCACCCACCTGCTCCTTCAAGTCGCCTAAGCAAACCCTGGGTTTTGCTCTGGTGTGCCTTGCATCCCACAGATGCCATAAGGCACCTGGATGAGAACTCACCTTTTTCATCTTCGTGTTCCTGACGGTGAAGCGGCGCAGGGTGTAGCAGGCGTGGACGTTTGTGCTCTTCAGCGTGACGATGATGTTGCCGTACTCCTCGCTGTTCTCTGTCGGCCAGTACTGATCACATTTCCTCTGAACAAAGACACAGTCGGGTGGGTTGGCTGAGGGTTTGAGCTGCTGCTTTGTGTTTGTGTTTAGAGCTTTTTTAAAAAAGTAAAATAATGGCGAGCTACGTACCCCTCTGTTATGTTCGTTATGTATTATGCATCAATATGTATCAACCCAAGCCATTTAAAAACAAATTCTGCCCAGGTGATTTAGGGAGGTGTTAAGGAGCAACTGCTAACAAACTAGAAAATCTCTTACTCTTCCTTTTTCAACAAGGTTTGTGATCATGACAATGATTCCAGTATTTTGTTCCCAAATCATCCTCCAGAAATCTTCAAAGGTAGACTTTAAAGGTCCCTGGGTAGCAATGTAGGCTTTTGCTTTGTTGTAACCCTTCAAAGAAAACCATAATGCCAAGTGAGATGAAAGCAATATCATGGCAGACGTATTAATATTTTAAAAGTAACAAAGAAAGGTGCTTTTCTTATTCACAATAGCAAGGAATTCATAGCAAAATTATCAGGTGAAGTTGGAAAACACAATCACTTCACAAATGGCAATACTTCCTCCTTGTGGAAGAATTCAATGGTAGAGAAGATAAAAACAATTAAAGCAACTTACATCGACATAATTAGCATTAATGTAGTCACTGTGCTTAGAATCTTTCCCCGGTAAAGGCCTTAGCTTCACCCTGCTGTGATCATCTGCAGGATAAAAAACAGAGCAGAGAAGCATTAGGGAAACACACTGCAGAACTGCAGGGAAACATCCCATTTCCTGGGTATTGAGGTAGCCCCTACTAATACACAGAAGAGATCGGCCTTGGACTGGAGTCAAGAGGGATATGGGAGCATCTGTTCTTGGTCACCTGCTCATGGTAGCAGGTCAACAGTCTTCACATCCTTAAAAGTACATGGTTCATGCTGGAACAGCTTCTCTTTAAAGAACACTGGAGCCTCAGGAGCACAACTCTAGGATCACCCACATCACACGGAGTAGTGTGGTTCAGAGAGCCAGGGCACCCCACAGAGCTGTAACACCGAGCAGAGACATCGGCGCGGCTCCGGCAGGCAAAGCTGCCTCTGCTTGGCTCATCCTCCTCCCTCAGTGCTGGGCTCAGACAGCTCTACTGGCTCTGGGAGATGAGTGAATGTCCTCACTTCTTCACCACCATCATCACACCACCAGGACAGATCTGAGGTCATGATCTGTAGCTCCTCTTTTTGTTTTGCCCAAACGATTGACTTCGTCTTAAAGCAGAAAGAAATCACAGTCCTTCTGCTCCTAGGCAGAGGCACTGGGCTGGGTGGTACTTCCCACTCATGCAGAGATGAGACACATCAGCCAACTTTAAGCATGAATATTGCGGTTTCAGTTCCCTTCCTTGAGGACCAGCAGAGAGAGACTTTCCTCCAGGGACAATCCAGAGGACTGGAGTGCCTGCTCCAATTCTCCTCCAATGGCACATCTCCATGCCTAGAGGGACCAGATATCCATGTCTAAAATGACAGCTGGGACAAGCTCAAGGAATGCCCTTGCCCAAGGCCACACAGCAAGCCTTTCACAGGTCTGGGAATTGATCCTCAGCCAGCACCTTGATTACTTATGAGAATCTGTTAGAGACATGTATTTCCTTCCTGTGCCATCAAAAACATTCGGGATTTATTGCAATGTTTATGAACATTGGGAACTTTCTACCAGTGGCTCTCCATTTCTGTTCTTAAACCACAGTGACTGCTGCATCTGCAATCCATGCCACATCAGAGAACAATAGGGAAAAAGTTACTGCATTTCCATCCCAGACATGCAATAATTTGCATTCTAGAGCAGAGCCCAGATTTGCAGTTCTCAGAGGGATACAGGCAAAGCCTGCTCTGTGCTACAAAGATCACTGTTTGTCCAAGTCCTACACACAGCTGAGGCAGTTTGAAATACAGCAGATACACTCTGCAAGATTTAGCACCTCTGGGATTGTAAGGTAATCCCAGGAATCATCAGTAAAACCTTCTGCTCCACCATGCACTTCCCTTAGGCCAGTTTTCAGGCATTAGCAGGCAGAAGAGCTCTGATCATCAACTGATCCCAGTTATTCCTCCACAAAATTTCATACCAAACTGCTACTTCTAAAACTATGAATGAAACTAAAACTTCTAAATAAAACTAAAACTTCTAAACTATGCCATGAAACTGCAAAACATTTCAAAACCAAAGATGGAGTGAAATCCTGGCTCCAGAGAAGTTATCAAAACATCCAAGGCCTTTAGTGGAGAAATGATCTCCCAGCCACACTTTCACATGTTTATTAATGACTGTGTAATAATGTAACCAGGAGCCACCTGCCTGTCCCAGTCACCACAGACACACTGTGAGAGTGTCTTTTTGGGTTGATTCATTGTGCTTAGGCCAGTGCTTACTTACAGGCCAGGATGTTGATGTATCTGTTCTTGTGCTTGTTGTCGGGGTGGTTGGAATGCTCTGCAGTGATGTTCATGTCGGCCGTACAGCGCTGCACCTCCTAGGCACATAAATTATTCAAATGGAAAATCTGGCAGTCCAAAAAAATTGAGCTGTCTTTTTTTATTTCTGCAACAGCTTACACAAACAACATTTAAAATATCAGTATCTTAACTGCTGGGTTAAACACAAAGCCTTTCAGCATTGTCCTGTTTACCATGGTTTGCTCACACTGAGCCCTGTGAGCTGTCCCTGGTGCACAATTATGCTCCTCCCCACAGACCTGGGGACAGATGCTCTTTGAGCATCTGAGGGCCGACTGTCCCCTCTGACAACCAGTCCACTGCCTCCTGCACTGCATCTCCTGCACCTCCCTTGGGGAGGGAAGAGAGGGTCCCTCAAAGGCAAGAGTGGCCAGTGCAGTGTAAGAAACTAAGCACAAAAAAACATTTCAACAGAAGACTTTTGACTGTTGGACAACTTATCTGCTCATAACCTCTCAAAACGGGGTTTCTGACATTTACGTTTGGTACTGACCTTTTATTAGTTCTCTGCAGAGAGATGCCTTTTGTAAAATATAAATAAAATAGATCTCTGAAGACAACAGCGAGTGCTTAAATATCACTGCTCGGACACTGATTAACTGCCCACAATATAGTGAAAATCATAAAAGGTTGTATCCATGTATATATACATTTACAAAGCAGAGAGCAGCCAGGCTTGCCAAGGTGTTTATGAAGCCAGAGATGAAGATTTCTGTCTGGTTGAGGCTGTAGGTTAGATACCTAATTCCCATCGATTTTTTTTAGTTCTCAACCCACCCCTTACTGTGTTCAACAACAGATACAGGGCTATTGAAATGGGGCAATGGAGGGTCTTTTCTCTGACCTTAGAGAGAAGTAGCCATTCCCTTTGGCCAGACCATCCTAGAGAGTTACACACTTCAGAGACTGTCTCATAAACTGAATCACTCGCGTGATTCCATCTCCAAGATACCTTTTTTTGGTATCAATTTAACCACAATCTTCCTGAAAAAGTGAACCCTCTTTTTATCACTAGCATAAATATTCTTCATGTAAAGACACCTTTTTTTGGGGAAAAAAAAATAAATCAATATTTGGAGTTTACAAAGTTGTGGAAGAAAATATATTTATTCAAATCTTTTGTGAGTCCCAGAAATTGCACCAAACAGAACCAATTTCCCCTAAGGATATGTGAGGAAGTGTCAAATCACTTTGTACTTCAGACTTTAAAAATAACAGCACAGAACCTGAGAGGGAAAGTCATTAGGAGCTCACAGCTGCTACAAAGATCATGAGCTAAGTGACAAAGAAAAATTATCACGAGAAACACTATACAAATTGCAGATGTAAGAGTTCAGCATTATGCAGACATTTCACAAAGGATTTGTATAGGAATTTTGATATCTTCCCCAACATTTACATTTTAAAAGTGCAAAGTATACTAAAACCTTGAACATTTTATAGCTTTTATATCCATGTGACACTCACAAATAACAATTGCTTCTCTCTGTCTTCCCCAGCCCTCCGTAGGGAGAAACATACTGTGCTCAAGGAGATAAGCTGAGCAAAGACAATAGGAATCAAGCAAAACTCTCAGCTGGCCCTAATAGAATTTTCATAGTTCCATTTCTATCACAAATAAAAAAACCCCATATTAAAGTGTGTGCTTCCCCTAATTCTGTCTGTCAGCTCCAGTAAGAAAGGGACTTCTGATTACACAATGGGCAGGATCAGTTCAGCCTAGGACATAATTGGAAAAGCAGCAATATTTACATGTTAGGTTGATTTTATGTAATTTTGTTTTGCCTATTTTTGCATTTAGAAATCATACATCACTGCTGTACTATTACAGGTCGCTCCTAAAAAATACCCTCCCTGCTTCTGAAAAACCTCACGTCACACCCTACATCCCTGTATCACTACAAAATTCTTTTTAGGAGTTATTTGCATTGAAAAATTTATGCCAAATGCTGTAGAATTTAATATAGATTAATCCAATAAGGTTCTGTGGAGAATACTCTGAAAAGTTATAGAATTTAATAGGGAATTACCTCCCTGCTAAAGAATTTTTTCTGACAGTTTAAATACTACATAGTAAATGTATCATTTTCTATTAAATTCTATAGGATTTTTCCATAAGGGAATTGTTGGTGAGGTTAATCATTTTAATTAACCTTTTTATGTTGATAGTGACTGTTTCCTCAACTGTACATGTTCCCAGCTGGCCAATATAAAGTTAATAGAACAGGAAGATTAAGCTAAGACGGTGAAAAACACAGCAATGGAAAAGGAGGTCTGACTCTGTGAGAGCTGATGATCTGAAAACAGCTTTTCCTAACGCACAGCATTCTAAATGGCTTTTAATACTCTGGGAAGCTGCTGTAATGGTGGATTTCTATGTCTGCACACTGCAAAAGCACAGCGAAAGGAGACTGTTGAAGAAAAGCTTCCCCCTTGCCAATACGCCTCCACTATTTTTGTCTCTTTTTAAAAGTCTTCAGCCCTCCCCTCCAGTCCAGGGCACAGCCAAGGCTCTGGGACATTGCAGCAGTCCAGAAGGGGTCTGAGGACATCCTTCAGCTCCACGCTGGCCACTGACAGTGTTTGGCTGTGCGGGATGGAGAGACCGGGTTGAGAGCAGAGTGTGGCTCTCCGTGCTCTCCTACTCTCCTGGGTTCATCTCTCCAAATTATAACCACAAATTACTAAACCACAGCTCCTCCCACCAGACAGTAAGGTACAAGTTAACATTCCTCTGTTATTAAAGCCGAGCTGGTTGCCTTTCATCAATGCACAAAATGCTGCAAGAAGACAAGACTAGTTGTTGCCTGTTATCTGTGCTTCTGTTCAGAGTATTATTTGCCTCTTGGCAGAAGAAGACAGCCTGGTGCTAATAAATAACACCTTGGAGAAAGTCCCCAAAAGTCATCAACTTAATTTTGCCATTTTTCCACATTTATGTATATCACATATTTACTTTCCCAGAATTTTCTATGGCTTATACAATGAACACCATAGGATTTCTAAATCTTACTGCCTACTGAGTCCTTCATTTGCACTTAAAACATCACCATGATTTCATTATTATTACCACCTACCTTTACAGGCAGGTCACTAGGCTGATCCCAGGCTGCTCACTGCAGCCAAAACAAATTCCTCTCACAATTAGCACCAAACTGCTACTGGCACCCTGGAGTAGGACAGATAGTGTCCATATCACCACATCCATAATTCATCCATAAACTTTTCAGCTCTACAGTATTTCCTTTGGCTTTCCTTAATCCTGCTTGGTCTCTTATACTGATCTTAACGGCAGCTGGCTTGCACACTGCTGCTTCTCATGTTTAACTTTGCAGAACACATTACTGTCCCAGGATGAATGAATACAGGCTCTTATTCTGTCCTTTCAACTTATCATTGACAACCCAAGAAACCAAAGTACATGGTTTCAATTGACCGTTAGTTACTGTAAAAAGTGTTCTAGTCTATGCTATTATGGCTAATTTACCTTTTAATTATATTGTCCATGCTAATGCTAATTGGAATTTGATACACCCAGGTTTAACGACCCATTTTAATTGCCTTTCTGAAACAAGTTACAGATTAGTTTCTTCTAAACTTCAAAGAATTTCCATTTAAGTGTAAAATCAAACTGCTCCAGTGTCTTGCTGGCAATATAAGGTTCTGAGCAAGAATTTTTGCTACAGTGACTGAGCAGGAACTCGGTCTCTTGATTCGGCCTTACGCAACGCTGCTGTTGTTTCCCATTACTTCAGGCTGATGTCCTGGCAGGGGCTGAACTGTGAAAGCCTATGAATAGCAATGAGGAGGAATCACGAACAAAGAAAGGATCCTAATCTGAGGGACTAAATCAGAGAAGATCCACAGCTCTGCTTTGATATTAATGTGATATTTTTCAGCATGAAAGCGGCTAGTTCATCCACCTCTAAAATCAGTTTTGATCTATTATTTTAATCCCAAATTACAGGAATTCTGTGGTAGTGCTCTTGCTGTTTGTTTTATCACAGCAAACATTAAGACAGCATACCAACAGAGACTGCAGATAGTATTTGAAGATATCTCACAGGAACAGTGTAGATTTCTGCGATAATTTAGCACTAGTATAAACTCTCTGACAGCACTCAAGAGAGAGGTGAGCTGGGGACAGCCTAGAAAGAAGGTGAAAATAAACAAACCAAAAGGACTCAGCACAGGAATAACATAAAGAGATAGCTTAAAATTCCTGTAAATGCATAAAAGAGGAGAGGACAGTGGAGGACTGTTTGCTTCTGGTATCCTGCCCTTCATTAGGCAGGGAAGTGCCAGAGTCTGACCAAAACCTTGCATTGCCCATGCAATGGCTCCTAAAACAGGACTTCCAGGTAGAAACCTTGGGAATGGCTGTGGTACTGTGATTAGTAACAGAAAGCCCGGATATCTTGACTTCTTTTATTGCTTCTCTTCAACTTTATCTCTTAATTCACAATGCCCATTTTTGAGGGCAGGTGAAGCAATGAGACAAGAATTGAGAACTCCAGGAAAGCCCTATTCTGCAGCAATCCTTCCTCCTCCAGCTTCACAGTGCTGCTTCCCTCTGGTTTCAGTACAGCAACGTACAGGCTGAGAACACCTTCAATTAGGGCAATTTTGGGCCAGGGTTATAAACCATTCCCAATGCAGTATTGCCTGCTAGCAGCATGCTTTTGAAATGGCATCCTTCTACTGCCAAATTCCTTGGTGTAGATGCAGCTGGAAGCATATGTCTGGTGTGAGCTGTGTCTAATCTGTAAGGGATGTCAGTATTACTACACGGGGTTTTTAGTGTCTCAAGAAATGTGCAAAGTGCAGCGTTATCTGCCTTCAATGCAGCCCTTTGCTAGAAAATAACATTCTGAGGTCACCGGTTAAAAAGAGCCAGTGACCCTTGTCCTGACCAGCAGCAACCATGAGAATAACTGCTAGCAAATCCCTGCCACATTGCTGAAAATACAGATTTATGTTATTTTCTTACATTTCAGGACATTTAGAAGAAGGTGTCGCTGGAGTATAAAGATATTTTCAATTTATGTGATGAGGGAGCTAGACAGCCTGCCTCCAAGTTCAGTGAGCCTGTTCAGACTCCAAATTGGCAATGAATCATTACACTCACACGGCCACGGGCAGGAGAGGTCTGTGGAGATTGCATTCACCCACTCTAATCGCTCCTGCAGCAGCACTGACTGACCCGCCCCAGAATTACGGAGGAGGGAAATAAAATTGTCTGATCTCAAAAATCCAAATACTGCATTAGACTGTAAAAACTCACAGTTAGTTTTGGGGATGGAAGGTGATTTCTTGGCTTAGTGTTCCTTTCTTAGAGCAAGAGGACATGATTACTCAAAAAAACTTAACTGTGTTATTGCAGTAACCGGCCAGGGGGAGGGAATGAAAAGCTTTACTGTGGGAGGCTGCACTTCACACTGTTTTTAATACAGGAATTTGGAGGGCACATGTCCTATATAGTCAGGCTATCAGTGGAATTGAGGATGACAAATGTGAAATCAGTTCTTAAAATGAGATCTGGAAGAGGTTTCAAGCGCTGCAGCCCACTACATCTGATTCTCTGTGGGACAAACTGCTAGACACTGTAATAGAAGCCAGCAGAGCTAGTGAACACCTCTAATACACTGGGGAGAGGTCCCTGAAAAAGTCTATAGACCATCTAGCAGAGAGTAGCACATCAATTTTCAAAATGTGTGAAAGGGCCCCTCAGAAAATATTACTTAAAAAACTGATCTGTCTTGGCGCAAAAAGAAAACTCGCCTTGTGCACTAACAGGTGAGAGGTGGGTCTCACCTATCCAGGAATTTTCAGTGTTCAGCTTTCACTGGTGGGACCTTATGGGACCTAATCTATTCATAAATGGGCTGCAGAGGAGACAAAGTGTGTTTACAATACAAAATTATTCAGGGTAATTAGAACAAAAGCTGTTTGTGAAGGGAAGCAGAACCATCTCCCAACACTGAGTGGCCGAGTGATAAAATGGCAACTGCAATCCAGTGTTGACAAATGCAAAGTGTACTTGGGAAAAACAACCCCAACTAACTACACATACTGACAGGTTCCCAATTTGCTATTGCCATTCAGTGATGAGACCTTGGGGTCACAGCCGATGGTTTTCTGGAGGTGCCAGCTGAGTGCTCAGTAGTTGTTAAAAGCAAACAGTATGTTAGGAGGAAGGAAAGTAATGGAAAACCAAATGGAAAACATCACTGTGTTCCTGCAGAACTCAGCAGTAAAGTGACTCATTACATACTGTGCACAGTTTTGGTCTTTCTGTCTTGAAAAGGATACGGTAAAGGAAGAAAAAAAGGCACAGAGGGAACAAGTCGTCACAAGTCTGGAATGGCTTCCTCCAGCAAACCAAGTGAATAGTTCAGACTTCTTCAGATTTGAAAATGGATTATTAAGGGGGAATATGGAGGTGGACAGAGTCATGTGAGGCATTTAAGTAAACAGGGATGTACTTTGTAATGCAAAAACTAGAAAGCATCAAGAGAAGTTATTAGGGATGAGGTAAAAGCAAAAGGAAGTCTGTTCTTGCGGAACAAATTGTAGAATTCATTGCCATGGGACACTTTGGACACCAGAAGCCTAAAAGGGTTCAAGAGGCAATTAGAAATTTATGGAAGAAAGGTCTATCAAAGACTGTTAAACGTAACGATGCCAAGAAAATCTCTGGCTAGACAAGGAGTAGATATAATCTCTGGCTCAGGAAGCTACCTGAGTAAAAAACCTTCCCTGAACTTTTTTCACTCTAGTACTGAACAAATTCCAAGGCTGAATACAAAGAGCTATGTCAGAGACCAGCACTGGTGGTGCAGGATCATGGACTTTATTTAAAAAAGCTATTTGTTGTTCAGCATTAAATTGGGTCCTATATTTCTAATTTATATCAAAAATTGAAAATTCACGGGACTCAAAGGAAATCTTAACAATACTGTATATACAAGAAATCCCAGCTATCACCAGACAATAAAGCTGGCTACTTGCACTATGATTACCCAAAGGGAATAAGGATTCATTTTAGATGTACTTTCCAAGGAAAGATTTGTGAGTTCAAAGTCCTTTTTTCCTCTGCACATAAAACGCTTCCTAAGCACATTCACAAAATATTTAGCTGTAATTACACCTCAATTTAAGAGGAGGAGGGAGTATTCACACAATTTACTTTCAAAGGAATCTTCTTCATGTAAAACCCAACTCAATATAGCCCACAGCACACTGCCAAAAACACAGGAAGATACACCAAAATCTAGCAACAAACAAATGGAGGATGTTCACCCTCCCCATCGGCAGAGTATGTTTGTGCCTAGCTTAGTCTTTTCCTTTTGCAGCTTCTACCTTAAACCTCCTCTCATGGAAATTTCTGAAGAGATTTTTGATCCTTTTTTCCTTTAACAAAAATCTCATGCACTGCCTGCCTTTGGGGAGATTTATTTATTTTGTAATATTGATCACATTTTTTCAGCATCTCCTTGCCATCCTCTTCTCTCTTCCTTTTAGATGTAAAAAGTAGATTTTTTTGTAAAAAGCCTGTATGACTGCAGAATCCACTGCCTCTTTTCAGAAGTTCCCCAGGCATGAAGGCATGATATGGCTGTGGTACTTTCCATGCAAGGCTAGCAGTCCTGTAACAATGGATTTCCTATTTCATCTGGAATCTTATTGTTTCTCCACAAAACATTAGCTAAGTCCTCACTGTAGCTGGCAGATACAACTCCAGCACATGGACCAAGGCTGTATGTGAGAAGTTACAACCCCAGCCACTTCAGCAGCTGCTGTGTAAACGTGACCTTGGGCTCTGCCAGCCCTCAGCCACTCTCAAAACTGGGATTCTGATCTCTGAGTCAGGCTGGGCACTTGAGAAACATTTTACCTACAGGCTCTGTGAGAAATCCAGCGTTTCAAATCAGACTCATGAGGCATCAGCAGGGCAGAACATCAGCAGTGAAGGGGAGCTGGACGGTTTATCTCATTCAGAGGTCGTCTTGTTCCTATTCCTCCTTACTCTAGGAGGAGATTTCATTTACTCTTTAGGAAGCCGAGATCTCAACTAGGGAGAAATACATCTAGAGTAGCTATACTGACTTCAAAGCAGATGCTCCAAGTTTTAAGCCAGCACGGAGAATAGAATTTGGCGCACGCAGTGCAGTCGGAGGAGTTTAACTTCCCTTTGGAGGGGACCCTGTGCTCCCCAGAACAGGAGTAATTGGCCAAAGCTCTCCTCAACTGGCTGCCACAGCATAGCACTCGCAGCAGGGAACTCCAGGAGGAATGGAAAAGATAAGGCTATTAGAGCAGTGTTTTTCTTTGCTAAAACACTGGCGGAAGGTGTCCAACATTTGTTAATAGCAGTGATTTTGCGACAGCTGAAGCAAAGCCTGCTTAAAGCCAGACCAAGTTTACAGATGTGTTGCTGATTATTTTGAATAATTAAGTGGTGTAAAACCCAGCTGTGATGAATAGCACTGGGGTCGCAATTCATAAATAATTGAGAAGAGTGAGTCGCATTTGATCATCCTGATCAAATTCTGCTCTCTGGAGAATAAATGTTTGTCCTGAATACCATCAACATTGTTAAATGCCTCAATATTCCTGCTCAGCCATCCAACCAGCAGTCAATTGAACTAAATCACTTTAACACCTTACACATTTGCCTTCCTCATGAATACAAAATGTTTCTAACTTACACAACGTTTTTTGGGCATCAGACAAAGCAGCCACTCTTTATAGACAGTAACCAAACAGCAACAATAAACGTTTTAAATGATCCCATTAAAAACAATTCCTGCATACAGTCTTGTCTTTACACTGCAGTAAGCAAAGAAGCTATAGATATAAGGCCACCTATTTTGGTTCACTGACTTGTTTGTAAGCACAGCTGCCTCTCTGATTCACATGCAGCACGCAAACACAGCTCCTCTTCCTAGTGGGGAAGCCAGTAGAGCAGCTCCCTGTAATTTCCTGGGGCTCCTCCTGCTTCTCAGTACTTCCAAAAGTTCAGCAGTGACTGCAGTTAGACTGAGTGAAGGAAAAGTCTGACTCCACAGCCTGTCCTCATGCTGCTTGGTGTTTACCATGCTTGCATAATATGGGTTTGGTAACCGAGAGGTGGAAAACTACTTTCACTTCATTGGAACTGCCTTCAAATGATAGCATATTTATAGGTCAAAATCTGTCCTACACAGGCAAAAAGATGCAAATTTTAAAATAGTCACATTATGTAACTACCACCAACTAAATCCCAAATCCTTTCTCCTTGGTTTTACTGGAACCAAATAACCAACGACTTCAATAGCAAACTTCCCTGAATAGAGCATGAACAAGGATTCAAGGAACTGACCCACAGTTTGGGTTTTCATACAAGACCAAATTCTACAACTTTTACTCATTGTAAGCACTGTTTTACTACTTTTGGACTTTTCAGTGTGACTAAGAGGAACAAATTCTGGACCAAGAAGAGTAAAATAATCTGCATATTGTAAGAAAAACCTGGAATTAAAAACAACTGTTTGTATCTTTATGTTGTTTCTGGGGGCTTGCAGACAGCTTTTCCTATTTAATAAAAACTTCGGAGGATTCTCCCTTAAAGGCACCAAATCTGTGGTGGTTAGAAAGCACCTGAAAATGTCCAGTCCCACATTGCTCATAGCTGTTAGCAAATTGGTATTATCCTGTTTCTTCTGATGCATTCGAGCACTGCATTTACCTGACATGACAGCCCCACACAGATGTCGCAGGGTCCCCAATTATTAATACACAATTAACTTTAGGAAAACAACATTTTACTGGTGGATCATTAAATCGTACCTCAAAGTCTTCTGAGAACCCATGCTGGTTATTAGAATACAGCTCACTGATGTGTTTAACAAACTGCTTGACTGGAATTGCTTCCATATCATCTGTAGGAAAAAAACAGAGAGATATTCAGAGTTGCTCTTTGTCTCATACATAAAACTTCAGGGGAGGAAGTCTTCACTAGATAGTGCTCAGATCTGAGTTCCCAGGGGCAGAGCTGGTTCAGTATGCAGTAATAGAAATCTTGATGAATCTGGCCAATTTTGAGGTAAACATTTTATATTGTATTTCCAATTCTAAGCACCACAGTTACGAATACTGAGAGCCTGTTCCCTGGGATGTTAATTTACAAAGTCCAATTGAAGTTCAAGGATCATTTAGCTCTTCCTCACACTCTGAAGATGGCTGTGGATAGGAGGTAGAGGCCTCCTCTCTTTCCATATTGTGTAAAAAGAACAGAAGAGAACCAATTTATGAAAGCAGAATTGACAATTACTCTCAGTAAGTTTTTACCAGACTGAGCAGACACGCAAGCCTTTCTCACCAAAGTTATTGCCTTTTTCCCTTTTACACAATGATGTAGAATCCAATTGGACTTATCATGGAACCGCTTCTGAGCAAAAGAACAGGCAAACACAACAGCCACACTAATTTGAGTTCTCTCTCATGCCAGACACTATTCATAACACTAAATATGTATTCCACTGGACCATTTGTTCTTGCTCAGCACAGTGCAAATTCTACCCAATATACCAATAAATCACCCATAGACACTTTCTTAAAGAAGTCGAAAGCTTTAACTGAATTAAAGACAAAAAGACTGTTTCGAGCACCTGGGACCCTGGGCAGATTCTAATAAAGCTGAGGTATAGGATGGCTGCCTGACTTATCTATTTCTCTGTTTCACTCTCTCTCTCTCAAAAAAGGCCTAGATATTGTTACAACCACCACTGCAGTTGGTAGAAACACTGTGCTTGCCAAGATTCACCAGTTAATATTTTCAATCTGGCATTTAGAAAATGCAAATCGCTATACAACTGTGATTAGTTTCAGCATGTGAAATAATCTATTGCCTGATGGCTACTATTGTCTGATTGCATGATTTTATGGCAATACTCTCGTATTTATATATTCCATTTAATATTCTTCTGAAGATTGCATCCAGTTTATGTTTACTCCAAGTAATTCAGTGGCGTATTTTTGCTCTCATTTAGCAGCCATATGGTTTGGTGCTACAGCTGCATTATAATCTGGATTCTTTTCCTTTTAAACATCTACATTATGATAGAAAAAATCCAAATATTTCTACAGATACTTAGCAAAATTTAACGATAAATAAATAGATGTGACATTTACTGTATTCAGAGTGAAAGATCTTTGGCAGCTAAAACCTCTAAGCTGTCACATACGCTTTTCTTAGCAAAGGGTATGAAGATCTGTAAGTGTAAATGAGGTTCTAGTTTGGCAAGAATTTTATAGATCCCTGACAATCTGATTTCTTTCCAGCTGATGGCAGTTAATATTGACCATGTCATTACTTCTCTCCTTTATTTTATCAGGTAACACTCTAAGGTGACTTTTTGCATCTATTGACATTTTCAGATCTCAATCAGCTTTCTTCTATTTTATTTACAAGGGCCAATTGTTAAGGATATGTTTGCAATCTGGTCACCTCACAGTACAGTAATGCTACTTTAATTAACCACATGCTCGTTTACTGAATAATACAGAATTCAAAAGATTTGACAAGTGTATGCTTCTCTTAGCAAAAAGCTGCAGCCTGCAGAAATGCTGGCATTTAAAAATATTTAAGTGATAACATTTATTCTATCTAATATTGAGAATATCATCATCTCATAACAACATTTGTATTAATATTTTTGCAGCCAAGACACTTGAATTGAATGATCTATAGCAACAGAATTCAATAGCAAGAATCTGTAAAACTACTTCCTCTCCTGAAAAGTAACCCGTACATCCTACATTTCCTTGAAAATAGCTTGTGCTATGATAGCAATTTCATATAGTCTCACAAGAAAAGTTCCATAGTTATAATTTTTTTTTTTGCATAGTCTACCTCAACTGAGACCAACCGAGATCAAGGATTCACTGCAGAAGACCAGTGTGTCCAATTTAGTTTTGCAGAAGGCAGAATTTAATTTTAATTGTGATCTGTGAGCCAAAAAATACATTAGAGATAACGTGCTCTCCAGTCCATTGAATTCCCACCAATTTCAAGGATGGGTCTGCACCAGAGATCCATGGCAAAGTATGGTTAGTTTTCTTTTTATCATTGTCACTGCATGGTGGCAGTGTGTCTCCACCTTTACAGCCACTGCTACTTCACTTTCACTTCTTTAGCATTTCTTCTCCCTTTTTCTTCTGCATTTTCATTCCTATTCTGTCCAGGAGCCTTAACTCAAATACAGTTTCCACCCTATTTGATAACATGGGCAACAATTACATGTTAAATAAACTAAATAGGAAATACTGTTGACGTATGAGCTCACTGGGTGAGGGGGAAATGGAAGTTGCCCATAAACTCAGGAAAACCATGTTGCAGCAAACGTAATTATTACATATTAGGAAGATAAAAATCAGAACCATGAATGTTAGAAACTCAAAAAATTTACAGTTTCCAGTTTTCAAACTGGTGGGATAACATAGTCCTATGGACTGTGACTGGGACAGGCACAGCCCTGAGGGGATGGGCAAGGTGGTAGGACAAGAAAGCAGTTGCAAATGAGATACAGCCTTTTACATTAACCAACAGAACAGGAGAGTGTTAAAGTAATTTGGGCCTGCATTTTCCTATTCACAACATCCAACTCCAAACTCCCACCCAGAAACACAAATTACTTTAGCTGGCTCCATGCATGCTTAGCCATAGGCAACTTGCCAGATCTCTGGTAAAATATGTGCTAACATCCTCAGCACTCTGCAATGGTGTCTGCTCTGATTGTATCTGAAGATGGCTGTGACCTTCTCCAAGAAAACCAAGAGATGTAGCCAGATGCACAGAATCTGCTTTTCCTTGCACTATCGTCAGCCCAAAGGCTTTGGTTAAGCCTTCTTTCCATCTTAAAGTAAACAGACTTCAATGACTATAATTCTTTTAGTCGATTGAAGAGATTAATAGAATCCTATAAAGGCTAATTAGCAGCTCCCCGTAGTTCTGCCCATATTCCCTTTTGCACCATATACTTTTTTTCCAGAAAGAAGATGGAGTGACATTTGATATTGTCAGTGTGATCCTTACATTCTGCAAGACCTACACATTGTTCAAAGTGAAGAGGGAGATGTTTTAATAACATACCTTCACCTCTAACACTGCAGATATAATTAGAGTTCTGTCTAGCTTGGGTTTAGCCATCTGTTTTATCAGTGTCAATAAAGTGATTCTGGATTTACTTCCCTATGAAATATGAGCTGAATCTGGCACCATTAAAATGTGCTAACCCTTTGTGTTAAACAGAGAAAGAATTATTCTTAGATGGACAGGGACAAAGAGCTCCAGAACTGCATATGTATTTATCATTATTATAAACGACATGAATTTTAGTAATATTTATATAATCAGATACTACTGAAACTGATAGGTGGGGGGGTATGTTTAATTATTGTGCTAGATATTTAACATGGTGGTGGAGTTCCCATCTTCACTTGCTGGTCCAAGACAAGTACCTGAGAGGAGTGTCAAATAAAATCAAAGGGTATCACAGTGCAGCTCATTCCTTGCCACAAAGAGACAATGCCAGGAAGAAAGTCATGTTTGTTTAAAAAAATGATATGTAGAGGAAGACCTTCACTAGTACTTTCTTTTTTAAGAAATGGCAATTGCCAATGCAGAATACTTAGTACATTCCCTCATAAGACAGCCACCTTCAAAAGAAGCCTGAAGTGTATAAAAGCAATAAAGTTCGAACAGGGTTACATTTTAAGTTCGGATAATTAGTAATCCTACCAGGAAGGATTTTCCCATAGCTCCCACTTAATAGGCTGCCTTTGTAATGTTAAAGCAATAGGGGCCAATTTCAAAAGAAAAATAGGATATCCTATCAGAAATGACATTTCCACATAATAGGGCCTCAGATTCATTTTGATTCATTTATAGCCTGAGAGCTCACCGGATAGTTTAGTGGCATTGTATTGGAATAGATGAGTTTGGGTCAGGAATTAATCCAAAAGGTCAAACCCAAAGTGCTTCCTCATATTACCTTCGTTTAGTTTGGAGTTTTGGTGTTTCTGAACACCCGATGTCTGACACATATGGTAAAATCTTGGTAAGAAAATTCTCCATGCCTTTCATTCTGCTTGTAAATGCTTTCTGTTTTTTAGCAATTGTCTTACTCAGTCTACTAAATCCAATATAATCCTTGCCTCTTACACCTTATTCTTAATGTGAAATGCATGATTTTGTTGGTTTGTTAGTTGCTGCACTTAGTCTCTCATTTACAAAGCCACCTGGATTCATGTGCCATAGCTGCCACGTGCCTTGGCCCATCTGCTCCAACAGCAGCCACTTACTGCACTGCTCAGCAGCCCTGTGCCACCCCTGCATCTCAGCAGCACTTCCATCAATTCTCAGCATGTTCTTCACAGCTGGCTTCAGCCAGAGGATGAGGGGATTCTCCCACTCCCCTCTCTCTGCCCTGCAGGGCTGAGCAGTGAACTGGATCGGCCTGCTGATCTGGCTGATGACTATAAGAAAGGATTAATTCATTTGTGGGGAAGGAGAAGAAGGATTAGTTGTCAGTGGGGTAGATGAGTTGATCCTACTCATTAGGATGAAGAATAGTGAAGTGATAGGGAAACTGCCCTTTCTGAAGGCAGCACAAACCTAACTTGGCTTATGATGATCATGAGACCAGTGACATTGTTAGCGACATTAATCCTGGAGAATCCACTTCCAACAGCATGTCTTTGCAGTTCTCATTTTCTGCAAAAAAGTTTTCCCAAAATATCTACTGAAAGAATTGTAGCAGGACTGGATTTGACCTTTTAACTCACTGAAATATAACACATCTGAAAAATGCTTTCCTCTATCCATAGCAAACAAGCACCTTTCTGTTCCCAGTAGCACTCAATCCTGGGATGTCAATCT